GGCGGGGACTTTGGGGGAGGGGGCGGAGTTTGGGCGGGGGCGGGGGCGGGGGGCGGGGCCGGGGCCCCGTGGAGTGTCCTCTTTTGGGACACTCCACATATGGTAACCCTAACCACTGCTCAGGATCCCCCCTCGCTCTCCCCAGCTGCTCACCGCACCCAGCTCCGGCTCCAGCCCCAGTGCCACCACTCGGCCTCAGCGCTGCTGCTGCTCTGCCTCGAGCCTGGCTCGCTGGGCTGATCTTCTGCAGCAAAGCCTCTCTCACTTCCATAAGGTTTGTTCACGATCTTGTCAGCCTGGCTGCGGACCCCGGCCCAGCCCCTGCTCCCCATCACGCCAGCTACCAACGAGCATTAGGGCACCCTAGTGTTTTTTTCTGGGTATGGAGGCACTGGTGCAGTTCTGGATGCCCGGCGGCCACCCACCCAGCCCTGGCAAAGGTTGATGAACGGCTCATGCAGGGCTGGGAAACGGCTGCCTGAAATATTCCACTCCCCTTTCGTAACCAAAAATGTTTCTAACCCAGTGTTACAAGGAAAAGCCAGAGCCCTGGCCCTGAGTGTGACTCCGACGGCTCCGAAACCAGAAAGTAAAGTGTTTTTTTTTCTTCAATCTTAAGCCAATCTCATGGTTTTTTTTAGGCCGGACTCATGATTTCTGAGCTGGGTTGGCAGCGCTGAGCTACATCGGTCTATGATCTATGGGAGATCAGATTAGATGAGCTAATATTCCCCTGAAGCCATAAAGTCTAAGAAGTGGGAGAGCAGGGGTGAGGGAGAGGACGACCCAGAGTGGAGATGCAGCAGGTGCAGATCAGGGTCTCACCGCAGCTAGGCCCAGCCTAAAGGCCCTTGGGAAATGCGGGGACGCTGTTGCCTTTGCTGATAGGTTTCACGACCCACATCAATAAATGACCCATAAAACACTCAATTCCAGACGTGGCTTTTCTCCCCTGTTTGCAAAGCGTCCTGGCTGGGAGGGCGACGTTCTCCCCCCGCCGCCCACAACCTCACGCTGACCTTGGTTTCGTTGGGGATACACCGATGAAACAGGGCCCGGTTTCCAGCAGGGCTTGGGTGCAGGGTGCCTGGGGAACTCTTGCCGCTTGCCTACATGGGGTCTGAACTCTGGGAGATCCAGCATGCCATGTGCCTCAGTTTCCCCACCTGCAGAGCAGGGATAATAATTCTGTCTGGTGCATTCAGACTGTAGCACTGCATGTTGGACACGGGGCCGGCTGGGTTAATTGTATGTGACTGTGTTGCTGGCTAAAGGGCAACCGTCCTTTTGTGGTGTCTCTCCAGTGCCTGGCACCACGGGGCCTGGTCTGTGGCTGGAGCCCTTAGGTGCTAGACAAG